ATAAATCAATCTGAGTACTAACAAATCCTAGAATCTAATATAAATCTAGCCTAGAAACATGATTTCAAAATAAGAAAAATAGATATAAAACATTGAGTTCGAAAGAAGGAAAGAAAAAGAAAGAAAAAACTTATTCGGCTCCGTCGATCTTCTCTTCCCGAGTTTCTCCCTCGTCTTGCTGGTGTTTCTAGCCTCCAAAGGTCTCCAAAAAATGTCCAAGACTCTCGAAAAACGTGTCCAGGTGTTATATAAAGAGTTGGGGTCGAGTCCTAGTCGAAATAGCTCGAAAATACTCAAAAAATAGGAAAAACGCGTAAATCTAAATTTTGTCGCGCCCACCGGTCACACGACTCGTGTCATAAGCCACACAAGTCGTGTGACAATGTCGCGAGCTCAATTAGCGACCCGTCAGAATGACACGACTCGTGTCTCGGGCTCACACGACCCGTGTGTACTTGAGAGTCTGAAACTCCATTTTCTCGGCATATTTCGGCTCCTGATGCATTTTCAGCCCCACGACAGTGTTGACGACGGATGATAGACGTATAAACTGGTAGTTCCGGTCGCATTCCGGCAACTCCCGCCACCAGCCGGGAAGATGACGAGTAACTGCAGCTTCCGGCCGCTCATCTCTCCGGCGGCATTCAACGGTTCTGGATGGATTCTACTGTGTTCAGGATGCCTTTGTTCGCGATTCAGTGGCAGATGTACAGGTATCCGGTCGTTCATGGTGTCTCCGGCCACCTCACGCGAATTTCGACGGCAGCTTCTCCGGCGCGGATTTTACGTCCAAGTGGCTTCTACGGTGAACTGATGGCTACGGCGGTATGAAAGTGGTCTCCGGTGGCTGGTTAGCGGCGTGGTGGCGCGGTGGTGAGCTGCTTCCAGTGTGGCCATTGCGGACTCCTGTGTTGTGCGCGTACGTGAAGGAAGAAGAAGATTACTCCACTTTTAATATATTTACCAATATGCCCTCACTTATTTGTTATTTGGGCTGAATGTTTAATGAACTTGGCATTTGGGCCATAGTGGCTGCCACCTCAGCCCAATAGACTGTACAGATGTTGATTTCAATAGGGCCTTGAAATTGGGTCGTCTCAATGCACTGTTTGCACACCTTCTGCTACCGATTATCGCTGTTTTCGACTTCAAAAATTATTCCGACCATATTTCCTGTCAAAACTCATATAAAACACCTCTTCATAGCTTAATAAATATAATTAAATAAATACATAATTAATTAATAATTAATTAAATATAATTAATTATATATCAAACTACGATGAACCGGACACAAAAATCACTATAAAATGCACGTAAATATGACGCATGTCAAATCCCCCAAACTTAACCATTGTTCGTCCCCGAACAACACATAAGCAAAAACAAACCACATGCATGAAAAGTGATTTTAAACAAGAAAAGCCTCAAGTCACTTAACTAATCAAAATAAATTCAAATAATCTCAAATACATATGCCCCAACTCTTAACTTTATAAAACTTTGAATTAATGAACTCTCAAAATAAGGTCAAATATATATGTGCCTCACTCACATATCTTGTGAAATATCAACATAAATAGAAAGGTACGCTCAAGTTAGTTCGAAACACAAAGTCAACCATAAACTTGTAAATCGTCTACACTTTACTAAATACAATTAATGTACGTGAGCTAGAAATCAAAAGGACTTTTGGGTTGTAATGTAGGCTCTTTGGACAAGGTAAGAAAATATAGGCCAAGTGACTAAAAAAAATCGAACAAAATCGATGAAAAATCACCATCCTCTATCTCCAATTATCTCCCAAGAATAACATACATACACAACTCTAAAAAGCACAAAACCGTATATGCAAACCTCGGCAATTGATCACTTTTTTTTTCAACTTTTTTTTTNCACCTTGCGAGCTCTCTTTATTCTCTCTCTTTTTTTTTTTTCATCAAATGCCTCAAATTACACAAACAAATCATAACCCATCTCATATTCATTATTCCCAAAACAAAAAATCACCATAGTTCATCCTCACATTAAGCTCCATTCACCCCAACATCTCCAAATAATAAATAATCACCTAAGGGCTATCAAGAAAAGGCTCAAAGCTCAAACGGGCTACTAAGGATAAAATTTTAGGAAAAGCAAAAGAGAATAAAACGGGCTAGATAACAAAAACTGCCTAAATCATTTTCAAAACTTCACGTACATAATCATATTTTTCAAGTAAGCACCAATGCAAGTTCTAGTATTCCAAGTATTCGACTAATCACACAAGAAATAAAATAAGGCTCAAATCCTCTCCAAGACAAATAAATCATTAATTCAAAGCAATAAAGTTATTCATCAAGGCATATAATTTATTCTCACCATCACAATATCTTAATTAAGATAAGCAACTCTAAACAATTCTCGTTTATCCACCAATCATCTAAAACACTCACAAGACAAAGCAAAAATTATTCGACTCAACCAAATTATTACTAATCTAATAAAACAAGTAAACGTGCATCCTAAAAAAATAAAAATAACCTAAATAATAAACAAAAATAATAAAAAATAAAAACTAATGCAAGCAACTATATGATATGCAATAAAGCGATAAAACTCAAGATATACAATACCTCTTTCCCCCAAACTTATTCTTTGGAAAAGAATTACGTTTGAAGAAAATAAATGGTATATCTCAAGTAACCAACCGAAAAGTCGAGCGAGCTCCACCGTAAGCAATCCTTGTACCCTTGAGCACGATCATCTCCTCCATGCTTCGCTCGAACACTCGATCACCACCCATTTTTTTTAGTTTTTGTTTTTCACTTTTTTTTTTCTTTTTCCAATTTTTTTTTTAAAAAATAATAATAAATAATAATAATAAAATTAAAAAAAACGAAAATAAATTAAAAAAATAAAAATAAAAACGATAAATGATGGGTTGCCTCCCAACAAGCGCTTAATTTAACGTCTTTAGCTAGACGTCTTCCGAGCTCTTAAAACGGGTCATTTCCATTCATCTCGACCAACTCCCTCTTCATATTCTGAGCCCGGCGCTCCTCATCTTTCACTTTCTTTCTCTTTGGCCCTCGATCAATGACAAACGTATAACGCTCATCAAACGCCCGGAACGTAAGCTCTTCTCGCTCAATGTCTATCAATACTCGTCCAGTAGCAAGAAACGGTCGCCCAAAAATTAGCGGAACATCATCATCTTCAAGCATGTCGAGCACAACAAAATCCGCCGGATATATGAAGTCGCCGACTTTAACCATAATATCCTCTAAAATACCTCTCGGATGTGCTAATGATCTATCCGCCATTTGGAGTGCAATAGTCATGGGCCCAAATTTCCCCGTCTCCAACTTCAACTTCTCGAACATCGATAAGGGCGTCACATTCACACTAGCCCCCAAGTCGCACAAGGCTTTCTCAACATGGAAATCTCCAATAGAACACTCAATAGTAAAGCTCCCAGGATCCTTGCATTTGAAGGGCAACTTCTTTTGAATTCTCGCGCTACTCTCCTCCGTCATGGCCACAACCTCATACGCTTTGAAACGTCGTTCGACCTTTTCAATCATAGCGGGCTCAACTTCTTTCACTTTACCATTCGGCGGCTCCTTAACTTCATCCCTTTCCTCCTGAACATGGACGACATTGCATTGCTCCTTTGGATTAACCTCGGTATTGCTCGGAAATTGTCCTCTTTGATGTTGACTCCCAATTTTCGTGGCCAATTGCCCAATCTGTTGGTCCACCGACTTCAGTTGATTCTCCATTGACGCAAACCGTGCGTCATTTGCGCTCATATAATTCTCCGTTTTACTCATGAATCTTTCGAATATATCCTCTAATGACTGCTTCTTTGGCTCATTGATCACCCCGTTAGTCACCGAAAATCCCGGAGGCGGTTGTAGAACATTATTCGGATTCACATATGAGAAATTGGGGTGATTTCGGTTGCCTTGGTAATAACTGTTTCCCGCTTGAGGCCCTCGAAAATTTTCAAAATTCCGATTATTCACATAATTCACGTCCTCGACCGGTTCTCCAACTCCTACGCTCTCAGTCTTTACTCCTTGCAAGTTATTCATCAACAGTGCTACTATATTAGCACAAATTTAGTCTTAACTAAAATTTAGAGTTATTTCTCGAATTGATTTAAAAATAAAATCTTTAGTATGATAAAGTACTGATGAATGTTGTATTTATAAAAAAATATATAAAAATTGAAATACAACTAGGTGGCCATTAAAAAAAATTAAAAATAATTAGAAATCTCCGAATATCCGAACTGAACTGAACAATTTCGAACCGTTCCAATAGTCCCGACTCCCGAGAACGGAACCGTTCCGAAAGTCCCGACTCTTGAGAACCGAACTGAACCGAAAAACGAAAATATCCGAAACGAACTGAACCGATTTTTTGGTACGTTTCCGGAGATTTGTCAATCTCCGATCCGTACCGACCCATACTCACCTCTAATCCAAATGAACAATTGCATCCAAGTCCATTTGATAAGTTTTTTTTTCTAATATAAGTTCTATATAAACAGTCACCTATGTTGTGCTACCTAGGGCTGCAAACGAGCCGAGCCGAGTCGAACATAGGCCTTATCGAGCAGGATTGATTTTTTTTTTTTTTTTTTGAGCTGTTGAGCTCGAGCTCGAGCTCATCGAGCTCAATTTTTTAGGCTCGAGCTCGACTCGATAAGAAAATATAATAGCTAGAGCTCGACTCGAATTCAAAATGTTCGAGCTCGGCTCGAGTTTGGTTCGAAAATTTTCAACAATTTTGTCAAATTATGTATATAGAAGGAGTATTTTAGTAATTTTCCATATATCTCGAGCCGCTTGACAATGTAAAATATGGGCTCGAGCTCAACTCGAGTTTGGTCAAACTCGAGCACGAGCCGAGCTTTGACTCGAGCGCTTGCGAGCGGCTCGCGAGCCGCTCGACTCGTGTGCAGCCCTAGTGTTACCTACCAAAGAAAAAGAAAAAAGAGAAAGAAAACACAGCACATTGCTGTTCCTCAATCGAATCCGTCATAGAGACGCGGCGGTATACGCTTTTTGTTTGAAACACCCAAAGAAAACAAAACACAAAAAGAAAAGGGTAGTTGAAACAAAAGAGCAAATTATTTTCCCTAATTTCTTCTTCTCTTCTACCAACCAGTCTTGATTTCTACCTCGATCTGTAAGCTAGAGTACAACGTGCCACAAATCGTTTCTGCAGATTACACGACCAGCAAATTTATTGGCATTGCTCTGTATTCGTTGCTGGTGTTTGGTCAAATTTAATAGGGAGCTCATTTTTAGTTTTCTCCGCCAACTTTCCTTGAAATAACCTATCTTCTCTCGAATTTATCGAACACCCTTTTTATTCTTGAAACAGTTTGTCTGACTCGCATTTTAATTTTCGTGTAAGATCTCTTCATCTCTTCGCTATCTATACTGGTTTTCACTCCTGATTAGTTTTCTTCCTGTTATTTCTGTTTTCGGCTTGATGGTTACCGTTTGATTTTTTGTTTTGTTTTTATTTTCTTGCTTTTATTTGACTTGTGAACTAGATCATTGTTGTTGTATTTTTTTGCTTCACATTTTGCTCTCTCGTATTTGTAACTTCTTTCGTCGTTAGAGATATTAGGTAGTCATTGTATTCATATGGTATACTTTTTTATTCTACTGTTTTGCTTGGCTCTATAATTGTTTGGATTGTAGATACTAGTGTTTATTTGTGGAATTACTTCATTAGATCCAATATTGTTTGTGAATTGTATGTATTTCGCACACTGTTTGTTTGATATTGTACTTGATGAGTTTCCACTTATATGAGTAGTATCATTATTAAAATTTGAATTTACTGCTAATGCCCTTTAAATTTGTACAAATATGTTTACTTCATAATCGTACGAAAGAATTCATGGCTGGTAAACGACTGAGGAAAAAACTGTATTTCAAAAATAATCGATCGAGTCGTACATTCCTTTGATTTCAACTCCTGTCTTTGATTAGAGAAACTTGCAAATGTTCCTAAAAAAATTTATGAGATAAGTCATCATCTGCATCTCTGTGAAATCATTAGCAATTAAGTGCTTATGCAGTGGCGTGGTAATGGTCGAGTAGTTTTTAACATGTATATTTCATCAACTAAGTTCAGAAAGTACTGTTTAACTTGTTTGTATGCTACCTCATGTTTTCTTCAGCATGACTTCTGCTGCATTTCAACAAGCAATCGGGATACCTGGTGGTTGCTTTAGTAATGCAGGCATCAATCAGGCTAATGGGATTGCTTCATTTAGGTCAATTTCAAATAGATGGGTGCTTGATATTAAATGTTTGAGGCAAAGAACTTCTTGCTCTAGAATGAGAAGATTCAGTGTGGTTCAAGGCTCAACTTCCGAGACTACTGTTTTTGAGTCAGTTTCGTCCCAATCAAATGGCACCACAAGTGGCTCCAAGAAGAAATCAAGTAATTCTGTGTCGAATAATTTGGTGCAAAAAGAAAAAAAGGATAACTGATAAACAAAAAGGAAAAATACTTTGCATTCTGTAACGTAGCTTGATACTTGCCGGTGTAGTTTTTTATGATATTGTTTTATTTTTCTCTCTTCCTTTTCTAGATGAAGCTGCGTTAATTTTAATTAGGCATGGTGAGTCTATGTGGAACGAGAAAAACTTGTTCACAGGCTGTGTCGATGTGCCTTTAACAAATAAGGGGGTTGAGGAGGCTATTGAAGCTGGCAAAAGAATAAGCAATATACCTGTTGATGTTATCTACACTTCTGCACTTATTCGCGCACAAATGACTGCTATGCTTGCCATGACCGAGCACCGTCGTAAGAGGGTATAGTTATTTTATATAAAGTTTAGCTAAAGCGAGAATGTGTTATTTTCTTTTGTGAAAAAAAAAAATGACAAGCTGTGAAATGGGAGTTTTTTAATTTATAATAAAAAAAATAAAAAACAAATATGTGACCACCTTCCAAGTACATCTCTCTTGAGGTATGTGTGTATGTGTGTGATTACCTTAATCCAAAAGGGTAAGGGCGTGCTTGTTTACAAATAAATCCGCTCAATTGAGTTTCTTCGATTAACAAGGGTTAATTTTGAAAAAGTTGGATGGTTAGTTGTTAGTCGGATTTTGATTTTATATTAAAATAATATTTAAAATAAAATAATTAAAGTTGTTTTGATGTAAAAGTATGAGAGAAATGATGTGAAGTGACAATTAGTTAAAACTATGTGAGTGGATGAATGTGAAATAAAGTTGATGTGATGTGTAAGAATGATTGCTTTGTATTATTTAATTATATTGATAATATTGAGGATAGTGGAGTTCGGTTAAAATTGAGTTAGATTTTGAGTAATGGAATGTGAATGAATTATTTTGTAAACAAACATTCTCTAAGTTTTGCTAAACGCTTGCAATTGGATGGTTATTAAGATCAGGGCACCTTTTCCGATGATTTACCTCGTTGGAGTGTTTCGCACTTAGTTTTATATTCTCTAATTTTATAAACGCAGATTTTTAAGGCCCATAAAAACATAAAACTATGACATTGAAAATCCAACTGCAGGTTCCAATTATCTTGCACGACGAGAACGAGCAAGCAAGAGAATGGAGCCAAATCTTTAGTGAGGAAACTAAAAAGCAGTGTATTCCAGTTATTACAGCATGGCAACTGAACGAAAGAATGTGAGTTGATAGACTTGGGCAAACCTTCACTGCTGTTTGGCCATATTGTATGGTTCTTAACCAATCAGTGAAACTCATTTGCAGGTATGGGGAACTACAGGGTCTTAATAAACAAGAAACGGCTGATAGATATGGAAAAGAACAAGTTCACGTGTGGAGACGTAGTTATGATATACCTCCGCCTAACGGCGAGAGTTTGGAAATGTGTGCTGAGAGAGCAGTTGCATTCTTTAAAGAATACGTAAAGATGATTACTTTCTCCTCACATCTGTGTTTATGTTATTTTATTTTATTTTTACGTGCAGACTTTTTGCACTTGCAAGCCAAATATAAGAAAAGAGAAAAAGGAGTAACTNCCGAAAAAAAAAAAAAAGAATCTTTTTTTTCATTTTTAACATCAACCTTTACTTTTGAATCTACATATTATTTAAATGTTACTGTATAGCAAGTTGTGCTATTTATTCACCACAATCTCTTTAAACATATATATATTACTTTTAACTTCTGTTAATAAATAATACCAATTTCTGATTGTCGAAATAAACAATCTCCTCCATATGTAGAAGTTTTCTAGAACACTCCTTAATTTTGTTGATAAGGTTATTGTTGTACTAACTATTTAATGAAACAGATCGAACCACAGCTTGTATCTGGTCAAAATGTAATGATTGCGGCCCATGGGAACTCACTGAGGTCCATTATTATGTATCTGGACAAGCTGACTTCTCAAGAGGTGAGTATATCAGTATTTTGTTCCAATTTCTACTATTAAAATGTGAGCTACACATATGTATGTTTTCTTTTGTTGTCAGGTGATTAGCTTGGAACTATCAACTGGGATACCGATGCTTTACATTTTCAAAGAGGGAAGTTTTATTCGTAGAGGTAGTCCAGTTGCACCAACTGAAACTGGTGTTTATGCTTATACTAAGGTATATGACTTTTTCTTCATCCTTGATGTGATTGATCTATTATAGGGAAATAATTTGGNATAACATACCTGTATATGGAAATGGGCATGTATGATTTTTGACATCAGCTTGTCATGGAATATCCACAACATCCCTAACTGTATCGGGGTATGCTTATCAGTTTGTATTTTCCTGATTAGAAACATGTTTTTTGGGAGGAACAGACATAAATGTCTTTCAGCATTCTAAGACGGTTTGATTTAACAGACAAAGATGAATGCATATTCAGTAATCTGAAAGCTTTTTGGTTGATGAAAAATGTATTATAAATTTATAACACATAAAAACGGGGTTTCACTGTACGAATACAGTTTCTTTCAATGAATTGCAAGTTTTGACTTGTCTTCGTTTTTTTTACTCATGAAGAGGTTAGCTCAGTACAGGCAGAAGTTAGATGAGATGTTCCAATCCTAGTTGAGGTAAAAAGAATAAAATTACAACCTTATCAGTTTTTACTTTTTATTGAAGCCTTAATCTTATGTTTTCTCTTTTTTTTTTACAGCTTCATTTCTGATGATAAATTTCTGGAAATGCAGAAGATAGTGCTCAAGATCTCACTATGACCCTTTTTTGTCTGAGTGTTTTATGATAGTAAGTAATGTTGTACTATCTAGTGGTAGGTTCTCTCTATAGCAAGTTGTTCACTATGCACAGTTATTTTCTGTTTGTTTAGTTGGTCATTTATATGATGTTAATAAACTATTATATTAGAGCGAATCACTTATTTTGCCGAGTCGTTAGCATAATGTAATCGTGCTTGCGTGATCATTATATATTTGCACGTTGCACTATCGGAATATGCCCAAAATTGATGATAAGTTGATAGCTTCGGAACAGAATTTGCATCTTGCAACAAACAATGCATCTCACTTCCAAGCATAGAATTACTCGTTTCATTCTTTCCTCACATCATTAGTTCAGTTAGCAGCATTAATAAAGAAACTCTCAGCAAGTCTAGTTCGGGTAGTTGTTTAAGCGTTGGTTATTTTTACGACATAGTTACACAATATATCAATAAGCACCTACTCATGATTTTTGCTCATCCAAGGATTCAGTTAAACAATTCACTTATTTTACATTATAGATAATGTGGTTCATCATGTTAAATACAAGATCAAAATATTGGTGAAATATAAATATGCTTCGTAACTTAGACATAATTGAACTAACTGTCGTGAACTTTTGTATTGCAATTTTCGAATTAGTTGATCTTGACTAATGAATTAAACTAGTACATTTATGATCAAGTAAATGAGTTAGACCTAACTCGTACACTTAACCCGTAAAATAATAATGAGCATATTGATTATATCCCGTTGCACTGATGACGTCTCTGAAATGAGCTCAGACAACATTATGCTAAATCATGTAAGTAGATTAAGTTCTGGCATAATAATAAGGTCGCGTATACTAATATCGGATCAAAAAGTTAATCAATAATTAAATTAGTTAACAGATGTTATATCTTAAACATGAGAGATAAATGGAGTGAATAAATCTGAAGGCGAAATAAATGTAATTTGAGGTTAAATGAAAAGTTCAATAATATTTTTTTAGTGGAATGCAATATTATTCATATGGTTTTGGTGTAGGTGGACCAAAACCTAATTAATTACCTAATCAATCCTATAGGGAGTCCTTATTTTTATTTAACAACAATCTCTAGGTCCCTCTTGTAGTTTATAAATTAATACACCAAGTCCCAAGAGTAGTCCACACACTTTTCTCTTGTATTCTTGGCCAAAACATACACAAGAAAGAGAGAAAAATATTATGAGATCTAAGAAAGAAAGAAAAAGACAGTGTTCCAGAACACAAAGTCTTCTTACTTATTTCCGAAGATTGGATCACACGTGAGATTTTGAGGGAGATCCGAGCAATGGTTTCAAGTTTGGAGAGGTGTCGAGACATATAACAGAAGATCAAGAGGTGATCCGTTCACGCAGTCCCATAGACATCTGCTCAGAGTCGCTTTAAATTATAAACCGCATGATTCTAATCATTACTCTAGATCTGCTGCGCTTAGCATTGAATTCTTAGATATTGAAACTCGCACATCCATCAATGTTCTTCATATAACCCAACAATTGATATCAGAGACAAAATTTTATTCAAATTAGATCATATCTTAATTAACTGTGTACGAACGCAACACATAATAGATTAGAATTGCAATAACTTAGTTTTGCAGGATTCTATGATCCAACTATTATAGCTCGAATTTATGTTTATTTCATGTATGGTTTTCAAAGCCTTCGACATGTCATATATTTTTGGGTTGGTGAATGTTTGTCATGAATTTAAACGTACAACGGGACGCTGCATAGTTTATCGCTTTTCTAGAACAAACATGTAAACCCTTGTGTAGGTCCTAGGATAAAAATTGTATTTTTTTTTTTTTTGGATGATGAACACGACAAATGCGGACAATGAAGAAGACATCCAGTAAACCTCGACGAGGCATCCTCGCTCCAGACCCAGACGCTCGGCGATAGGGATGACAACGATCGGGAACGATCGGCATAGGGCTCAACCATTTCCACTTTCATATTTTTTTCTTGAAAACGAAAATGATACGATAATGTCGGAAATGAACACGACATCGGTATTCCGGTAATATCGAAAACGAAACTATCCAAATATATTAAAACGGTATTTAAAAAACGATAAACACACCACATTATAAAATATAGCATTAAAACATAAATTGAAATATTCTCACGGCATAATAGTGACAAAATCCAAATTAAAATCCACACCATTTGTTATAACAAAATCCATACAAATTCCAATAACTAGCAATTGAATTGTGACTTGTCCATCAAATTCTCATGGAATAATAGTAGCAATTGAAATTTGAAACATGAAATGGGAGCAATTAGGTGAGAAATCAACCATGGAACCACCAAATCCACAAAAAAACCACAACAAACGAAATCCAGAATTCAAAACACAAATCACTATTGGCGTGAATTCAAAGTGGGGTAGGCGGCGGCAGCTGGAGCCTGTAGCGGGTGGTGCGGTTGCGACGTTGATGGGAGTGGGGCGCGGCGGCGACGAGCAGGTGACGGGAGTGACGACGAGCAGGCGCGGCGAATTGCGATGGCCGTTGGCCGATGGAAGAGATGACAGGGTTGGACTGAAGGGGATTTCAGGATTTCGAGAGTGAAGACCGAAAGGGGTGAAGGGGATTTCAGGATTTGGGCACAGGGTTGGGCTGAAGGGGATTTGGGCATTTGGCCCATTTGGGATTTGGATTGGGCTTTATAATTAAAAGTGCGCCTAGTATGAGTTGGGCCGGTATTACCGATGGTAAAATACCGTTTAAATACGGTAATTTTCGAAAACGATCGGAAAAGGGCTAAACCGTTTTCGTTTTCATTTTCGAATTTTTTTACCGTTTTCATTTCCGTTTTTCCGGTTACCGTTACCGTTTCCGTTTAGCCTCCAAATCCGAAAAAATTTCGAAAACGATTATCGGTAATCGGAAATTACCGTTTCCGTTTTCATCCCTACTCGGCGACGCGCGATCATGTCGGGCGAGCATGCGCACAACCGCCGACAGCTCGTAGGCGTTGCTTCTCGCGCGCGCACGTACACGCGCCACCCTCGGTGACCCTCGACGCTGGGTGTTGAGTCGCACGAAGAGTGCAGGGCGTACGCAGGGTATTTTTAGGCCACTGAAACGCGAGCTCGAGCCCATTCAAAATTCTACGCGGCCTAAAAGATTGACAACTTTATAACTAAACAAAACATATGAATAATAACTCATCTGTCTGAATTAAAAGCAGATAAAAAAAAAAAGGGAAAAAAAGAACAATATTACGAAAAATTGCAGAATTTAGGGAAGGTATTAGAATTTCAAACTCGGAAAAAAAACATCAACGGTATAGACTTCATCCCCCACCTCCAAGTTCAATGTACCCTCCTCAATCACCATCACCCCATCCTCGTTCGCACGGCTAAGATGCTCACACGGCCTCACCACAAAACCAATCTCTTTACTTTCCTCTTCCCTCAAACTCACACTCTGAAACCCGACCAGCCTTCTCCCCTTATTATCCCGCACAAACAGCAACACCGCATGTTTACTCTCCATATCCCCACGATTTTTGACCTTCACCTGCACCTCCAACTTCATCTCCTTGCATGCCTTGGCTGCTCCCAGGCCCGAAACTGTTGCGGACCGGGCCTGCCCATGACGGCCTGATTTTCTATTTACAGAAATGTTGTGTGGCTTAACAGAGACAAATTCGTAAGAGTGCTCTGTGTAGCTTAGTCCGTGCCCGAATTCAAAAACTTTTGGGCCCGTGTAGAATCTGTAAGTCCGGCCCGGATAGTAGGTGGATGGTTCCGGCCGCATTCTCATATCCGTCATTGCTACTCTCACAAATTCTTTCGGGTACCAAGTCACCGGTAATTTCCCGCCTTCATTAATTTAAAATTAGGTTTAATTAACAACGAATTAATAAATAATTAATCATTGATTATATACCTTACACTAATAATTAATACATCACCTGGATTGTTATCCCCGAACAAAGTCTGTGCAACGGCAACTCCCCCGGCCTCTCCCGGATAGCCCGCCCACAAGATGCCCCCAATTTTAGGGTTCTCTTTAGCAAACGAAACATCAACTGGGCCCCCACACAGCAAAACCAGCACCAATGGCCTTTTCGCAACCTTCGCAACTCTAATCACAAAATTTTCCTGATTCCCTGGCAAGCCAAGCTCGAGCCTGTCGAGTTTTTCCCGCTCGATCGTTTGATCCAAACCCATCACCATAACAACATAGTCGGCTTCTTTTGCTACGCTCACTGCTTCATCAATTAATCTATCCGAGGTACAATTGACAGACTCGCAGCCCGGGTGGTACCTAACCGTGCTTAACGAGTTGTACTTTTGGAGGGCTTCGAGGATTGTGGTGTTCCCGCAGGGGAAGCCTTCGTAGTTCCCAAGAAAGGGCTCGGTGGAGTTTGCGTGGGGCCCAATGACGGCAATTGATGCGTTTTGATGGGCCTTTTGGAAAGGGAGGAGTTTTGCGTCGTTTTTGAGGAGGACTATGCCGGATTGGGCGGCTTCCAGGGCCAGGTCGAGGTGGGCTTTGCTGCAGATTTGGGCCGGGCTGATTTTGCCGTATTCGAGTTTTGATGGGTCGCCGTTGAAAAGCCCGAGTCTGATTCGGATGGAGAAGAGGTTGGTGAGGGCCCGGTCGATGTGTTGTTCAAGGGTTTTGTTACGGGCCACAGCTGAATTTGTGTGTTTCAAAAGGTAGCTGCCACAGTCAATGTCCATGCCTGTAATTAAACAAGTTGTGTTTTGCACAAACAAACTTAGATTACCAACGATGACTACACTAAATTAATTCACTAATTCACATATAATTAACCCCTCTAAAACTGCATACATATTCATGTCCGGTATACTTAGGCCTTTTGAGTTTTTAGGCCATTTTTGGTTTTTGTCTTTGATGGAGAAATGGTGAAAGCCAGCTTGTGCTTGGGGTACAATACATACATTGTACCATGAATAAAGGTTACAAAGGAAGTAATTAATCATTGAACTTGCATGATGACATGTGTCACTTGTATATAATTATGGACTGATGGTCCCAAACTGTTACTAAAAATAAATTAAACGCTCTTGGGTGAATACTCATGGAGTTATCTCAATTATTTCAGACAAATGAAGTATATGATCATAATAATTGTTATATATATCATGATACATTGCAGACGTGACCTTAATTATCCAAAAGTCAATTAAATTAAAATTAAATATAAATCAACAGATATAATCCTCTCTATATATAATTTCAGAATAAGTGAGCCTACGTGGCAAACTTTCATGCTTCGCAATCCTATTTGGCAAAAAATCATACTTTGGAGTTAGGCTTGGATATAAATTAATATTTTTATCACACTAAATTCATAATTGATTTTTTCTTTCTTTACTTCTACAATTAGTTACCATAAATTATTTTATATTTCTATTTCCTACATTATCATACATTACATTTCAGTTTCTTATTTAATTTATTCATTAGTTATTATAAATGTTTCTTCTTCTTATTTTAAGATTTTATAACTTTTTTGTTTGTATTTTATTTTTTATATATGATATATCAAATTAACTATCTTTTGACGATTTTCGATTTGACATTCATATTATATATATATATATATATATATATATATAATACAAAATAGTAATATATATTTTTATAAATAAAATTTAAGTTTATTTATCAAACTAAATTAAAAGATATCAAATAAAACTATAAATTATATTATAAAGTAATAAATTTAAGTTTATTTATCAAACTAAATTAAATGATATCAAATAAAACTATAAACTATATTATAAAGTAATAGAATTGGTATGTATTCTCTTAAAAATGATATTTATTTCAAATCTAATTGGTATGTTATCAATCTAATAAAAATAAATAATTATTTATCTAAATTCTAAAATTACATATAAAGTCAGAAAGCTGTGAAGCACGATGGATACGACACTTGATGTATTAGGCATCTAATTAAGTAAAAATTAATCTATTTTTTTAATATTAAACAAACATATTCTGCACTTATGCATATACATATCACCATATTATTTCTATTTATTCAAGATAAATACTTTTTTACTTAATAATAGTAAATAATATCGATAATTTTATATGATATAAGTATAAAAATTCAATATGAGTCGATATTTTTATTTAATATACGGGGGTTTAATTATTATGTTTAAAAAAATATAATTTGACAATTTAATTACACGGGTATTGTAACTTGACAATTTAAGTATTACACGGGTATTGTACTAGTAAATAATTATATATCAATACAACAAATACACCATCAATCTACTTGTTAGTTGTAACTTCCTAACATTAATAAGAAAATTACATTATTAACCTAAAACTTATCTTTAGTGAGGACATTATTGACAATTCTAAGGTTTCAAGAAACTACTCTTAAAAAGTTTTAAGAGAGTTATAGATTTTAGATATAGATTATAGATAATATGTGCACATAATAGAGAATATACCAGCTTGAAGAACATCTGCAACTGCATCTTCAGGCTGTTTAGCATACCCTTGCTGGTCATGTATGACTGCAACGGCATCGCAGTCCGAGACAATGTACCTTTATTTAATTAATCAATTAATCAAAAGATAAATGAGAAACTACACAACTGAAGATGAGAGATGGTTTCTTTTGAGTTTACCCTTGAAAACCCCACTGTTTTCGAGCAGTCTCAGTGAGTAGATTGTAATCCGCACAACTCGGCACCCCATTCACACGGTTGTATGCGCACATTATGCCACTCGCCCGCCCTTCTTCCACACATGCCCTAAATGGCGGCTGATACGTATCCGCTAAATCTTGCTTGCTTACCTTCAAAATGATTATATAAATATAAAATGTATCCAAAATAGTACATCAATAAAATTCTATGTGTTGGGTTCATTGGTTTAATTGCAAAAAATCTTATACGCAGTGACAATAAAACTGCCATCTTTACTACTAATTGACAATAGCAGCAAAAAAACTTTTAAAATTTCAAAGTTATTACCCATGTCCGACCAATTTCGATGGCTATTACTGCTATTGCGAAAAAAGATACTGACTATATTTTCCAATTTATCCATCGAATTTGGCCAGATTTGGATAATATATATATATAACCCCGAAATTGTAAAGGATGTTGATTACTATATATTGTCGATTCGTAAAGACAGTGGCTATTAATGACATGATCACTTACAAGATATCGACTATATTTTGCAATTTACCAGGTTAATTAACTACATATAACTAGACACTTAACTTTGGCATCAAAGACGTAACGAGTGACCCCTTTCCAATTGTCTAAATCATGGGCAGTGTAGTGTTTGCAACAAGCGGAGGCTTTGAGCCGACCATCCTTAAGCTCTCCTCCTTCAAAACTGTCCCCTTGAATTCCCCTAACGTAAGCCACTGAGTACTTTCCGGCAACCAATGGGTCCTCGCCAGGTGTCTCTTGACCTCTACCCCATCTGGGGTCCCTAAATATGTTTATGTTTGGCGCCCAAAATGTTAGCCCCTTTGCCTGTCCTGCATTGTACACGGCTCGGCCCTCTTCTCCAATAGCCTGCAATATTATATTACTTTAGCATGATATAGCTAGGAGAAGTTTTTAATTTCCTTCTAAAATATATCAACACAGATTAATATAGATGTAAGTATATGCACACATATGGGAATGGTTATTTGACTAATTGTATGGTTTTAATTAAAAGAAAAATCTTTTTGCTAATGTTAAATTCCTTTTTCGTTGAACGTAATTTTATCAAAATCAAGAATTGTAAATTTGATTTGATTTTGAGTTTTGCCAATAGATATAAGTTAAAATATAATGGTTTAACGATGATGTGATTTAAAAAACAGTAAAATAATGATTAGTAAATTAAAAATATGTAAATAATAAAGTTTGTCAGAAATTGTGTAGTAATTGATTAATATTGTTTAATTATATTTATAATATTGAGGCCATTTGGTTCATTCAAACAAATGTGGTATATGCATTCAAATGAAGAGTATATGGGCCCCTAATATTTTGTTCAATCCATTGAACGACATTCAACCAAAAAAGTGTATGTGCCCGACATTTTTGTTCAATTCATTGAAAAGTGCTAACATTTTTAAATAATTATTTTAAAAAAGTAAATATTATTTTATTTATATATTTGAATGTATTAAATGTTGTAGAGTGTTAAGTGTTTGAATGGTGTGATATTTAGTGGAATTGTCACATGGACATTATGTGGACGAGAGAGATGATGATTGACGTTTAAATGAATGAGGATGAATGCAGATGCCTTGACTAGAGTTAAGTTAGATTAAATTTGAGTTGGATTTGAGTCAAAATTTTGTATTAAAAAAAAAATCTACCGAAAAAAAAAAAAAAATTTGTATTCAATTGTATCTCACCTGAAATATTCCGCATTCGAAGTCATTTATTAAATCACTATTTACAACCTCTTTCGTTCACATATCATTTCCATTAAACATCTCCCCATTTAAACGCTCTTTCATATTTGTTAAATTATTTTAACACGTGGGACTCAATTCCTACCTTTAAATGCCTTTTGACCAATTAAATGGAATAGCTTGACCCCACCATTTTTGCCAACTAAATAAATGGCTACATCTATAGTAATATAAAGAGGTTGTTGGAAAAATACTTTTATAGTAAGTTTGACTAAAAAAATAAATGGCTTGACTTACTATTAGTGGAAATTTCGGAAAAAACACATGTACTAAAAAAATTGAGATTTTTATGGTAACAAATTTGGAGATTTTTATGGTAACAAATTTATTGAGATATCCCAAAAAAATTGGAGATTTTTATGGTAACAAATTTGTATATTCCTATACCAAAATTTAATTCATATTAAATATTAATCCCATAGGAATATACTTTTATTGGTAACAAATTTGAAGATTCTTATGCCAAAAAATTGAGATTTTGGATTGAGACATTCCAACAATTACGGATTTTTTTTCCCATTCAAATTAATGTTGTAAATCAAACAAAAAATTATTCCAAAAATAATGGATGTTATACCAAATATTGATAAATTCCAATCCCATAGGAGATTTCTATAGGATTTTTATGGTAACAAATTGGAGATTCTTATGCCAAAAATTGAGATTTTGAATTGAGATATCATAACAATTTTGGATTTTTTCCCCTTCAAAATCATGTTGTAAATCAAACAAAAAATTATTCCGAGAATAATGGATGCTATACTAAATATTGATAAACTCCAATCCATAAGAAATTTCTATGGGATTCTTATGGTAACAAATTGAAGATTCTTATGGTAACAAATTTGGAGATTCTTATACCAAAGATTTAGTTCATTTTAAATATTAATCTCATAGGATATTTTTATTGGTAACAAATTTGAAAATTCTTATGCCAAAAAATTTAGATTTTAAATTGAGATATCTCAAAAATTACGGATTTTTTTTTCCATTCAAATTAATGTTGTAAATCAAACAAAAAATTATTCCGAGATAATGGATGCTATACTAAATTAGTATCACTGGGCCTACACGTTAATATGATATTAATTAGATAGATAAATTACGTAAATCTTTCCTAACAAAATGCGTTCCCATATTGTTAACAATTTAATGGGATTTTGTTAACTAATTTGATAGGATTTTGGTAACCACAGGATTTTGTTAGCTTTTCATGAAAACACGTATCTTCATTATTGATAAGATTTTGTTTTCAATTTTTTTTTGTTTTTTTTTTCCTCTCTCGAAATTTGATAAGGTTTGATAAGATTTTGTTTCCTGTTTTTTCTCTCTCTCGAAAATTTGAGTTGTGGATTTGAAAAAAATAAATAACTAAATAAAATAAACATATCATATTGATAAAGTTTTAGTGTGGGCATAAAAATCAATTTTGATTTGATTGAACTTTGTTTCATATAAACCTAAGAGAATCAGGCGTTTGAAAAAATAAAATATTAATAGTAAATAACTATACCATATTTGTATGGTTAGATTTGAAATATTGAGGCATAAAAATCAATTATGATTTGATCACATTTTGTTTTATAGAAGTTATCTTAGAAAATTTTACACGTTTCCAACAATTAAAGATTATAATTCCGTAAATTAAAGTTTTGGATTTGTCCAAATAAATAGGAAAATATCAAAATAAAAATAATATTTTTCAATCTATCCAAAAAGTCTTACCAAATTTTATCGTAACAAACTCCATTATTTTGGCTACATAATCTTCTAAATATTCGTTCGTCCCTCACAAGTGAATCATGTTCCATATTTTTTTTTATTTTTTTAACAAAACTGATAACACATATTTTTAGAAGTCAATCATAATCATAATAAAAAAAATCAGATCGGATCATATTAAATACCTTACGTAAATATTTTTTTATTTCCCAGACATATGGCACATACACATGACTATATAAACATCACCAACATTGAACAAAAAGTATTCGACATCCAATACATCCCACAAAACAATTTTTTCTACAATCTTTTACATCACCATTGAAAATGGTTTCAGATTTTGGAGTAATGAAGGATATCAAAAGATCCAATAAGCCACCAATCAAGCTACGGATAATTAGTATGTTCCAACAAGTTGAAGACGTACGCAATTACCGAAATGTTCTTGAGATTATCTTTCACGATTTTAAGGTAATATATTCTTTTATTATTACTTAAATGCATCATTTTATGCAACACTTTTATAATTTATTGATTGAATTATTTATTATGCAATATTTTGGGGAGGACGAATTACTGGCATAATTCGACCTGTCAATATCCAAAAAATCATCGGTGATACTGAAGAAGGTGGCGCTTATATCTTGACAAACTATCAAAGGGAAGCAATATTGGCATCCATAAATCGACAATTGGAAAAAGGAGGATCATTATCAATGGTCAAACCAAGATTATCAAATGGAGGGGTGATTTTCCTATGTATTGTTTTGACTTTAGGAACTTTCTAACTTTAATGGATGTTCGTAACATTGATGAAGCCAGGTTGTTTGGTACGTTATAATTTTTTTGTTTATTTCTTATTTCAATTTTTTTAATTTAAAATTTGTAATAAACTATTTTATATGTTATACGTTTCAATATGATGCATTTTCTTATATTTTTGTAGATGTTATTGGATTGATTGTTTACAATTATGTTTTCTTACGACATTACTATAAATAAGAGCCAGGAACAATCATTATCGTATGTGGGCTTATTTTCTTAAGAAACCAGTGTTTAGTCATGGCCAATTGTATGTTGTTGTCTCCCGTGTCACAAACAAAAATGAGTTTGAAAATTCTAATTTGTGGCGACGATGACGTGTCAAAGAATCAAACCATGAACGTTGTATAAGGAAGTGTTCAATAATATATGGATTTTATTATCATTGTATTTATTAATTTATTTATTATTAATGACATGATCTTTCCTTTAGTAAGTACTTTGAATTTCTATTGAACGCTGCTTTATAAAAGGGATGGAGATAATAAACCCCCGTGCATCGCACGGGGACTGTACTAGTTCATGTTAATGCCCATGTATACTTAAATCTATCAATGCGGATGCTCTTAATAGAGAGACGCAAACATTGTTTCATTATAAAAATAATGAAATTTTGAAAATAAAAGATTATGAGATAAGGCGGTTTAAATATTCAATAGAAAGTATTGAATTCAATTGATTTCATTAAAATATGGTATCTCAATTTGAAAATTCAGAGATCCATAGAAAGTATATCCATTGTCCCATTCGTAATGTCTCACGAAATGATGGAATTCTATAAACCATGGAATTTAGGAATATAACATTTATATAGATTCAATCAAATCCAACTGTCCTATATCCCCAATGTTTTCGATTTAAGTTTCTTTTTACTAAAAGAAACTGAAAAACATGATGACTAATTGACTATATTTTTTAAAATTCTTTTACGCTATTCTTGCCACTCTCTTCTTCTTTCTTTTTTATTTTTTTTCCTCTAAAAGTTACTCACATTATAGTGCTATTTTTCATATTACTAAATTGATANCAAATGATTTTTTGTTAGAAGCTTTAATAATTGCATAAACATATCTTTAAAAAATAAAATAAAAAAAAAATATAAACATAAGATAAAATATATGCAAGAGATTTTATAACATTCCCCTCCAACCTTACCTAGGTCTCATCTACTGATTCACGAAATATGACTATATAATTACTGTATATTTGCAATATGATTATATAATTAAAGATTTCGACGTTTACATTGAAAAACGAGTAACTGCAATTAATGGGCGAAAAAAAGTGAGATAATAATTATTACCTGAGCCACACGATACCAGAGATTGGCATCAAATGAGGCGGCGGTGAGAATGACCTGCGGGAACATGGTGGCGGACTTCACGGGGCCGGCGCCGAAATTAATTCCCTTTCCGTGGCGGGAAATCCCATGCAGGGCCTCCGACCACCACTCGTACGCGGAGATGTTCAGCCGCGGGATAGACGCCGCCGTGTTCACTAGCTGCTGTATCTTCTCGTCGAGGCTCAGCCGGGAAACCAAGTCCTTCACTCGGGCCCCAATCGGCAGCCGTGCGTCGCACAACGGGAGTTTGCTCGAGTCGCAAGAGAATGGTGGGGCCGCGGATTGCGCACACAGAAAGAGGGTCAATAATGTCATGCCACGGAGGATCATTTTTTTTATTTATTTGTTTTTAGTATTTTTGGAGGACAGAAATAATTCACTACTATTAATTATTAGTCTTGTGATTTATGGCTATGGGAGTGTAGCGGAGCGGATATATAGAGACGCTTCATGTTGGGAGTCGCGAAAGCTGATAGGCTCTGCCTAATAAAGATAAAAAAAACGTTTAAGAGAAATGTATTAATTCAAACGGACCAAATTAGTGCGAATAAGATCTTCTACTATTTAATTTCTTGTAATCTCAATTTACTGCAATCAGAATTCAGAGGGTGGCAATCAAATATACACATGCCTATAATACATTATGGTAATTTGAAATCTATAGCAGCAATTTAATTGCTTTACCGAAAAGAGGCTCGTATAATTTTATACAAAATTGATATTGATATAGCAATCAAAATAATTCATTAGACCGGTGTCAACCAATGAACTCCGTAGATCGGTCTTAGGGAATTAGCTCGAGTAGGAGGATTGGAGTTTGTAACTCGAGGTTGACGGTTGATAAATCGAACAACTCGGATATGAGGGTTACAAGATTTTATAGCTCAGTAAGGACACAGTGAATTTTGGATAGCTCGTAAGAGTATTGAGGACCTCTTGGAGTATCTTATCTCAAACTAGGGACCTTATAGCTAGGACCAACTGACTAAGAAGTGAAAGCTCACAAGCCCAGATATGTTGGATGGATGTCAAGATGAGCTACCGACCTAAAATGCACAAGACCTTAAATCAGATAAGAAAATTGAGGTTACAGAACACCTTAAAAGTCCTTTAGGAAGACCCTGGAGTGACTTGACAACAAGATGACACTGATCATGGGCTGCAAGGGTACTTGGGTAATAAGATGGGGCAAATCTTGGGCACCAAGGGTACTTGGGCAACAAGATTGGACAAATCTTAAGCAATAGGGGTACACGGAGAGCAAGATTGGGCAGATCTTGAATAACAAGATAATCCCCCTATAAAATGGTCTCCGATATAGAGTGTTGATCTTCTTTTCTCTATGATTTTTTCATACATGCATAATTATTACCTTTTTTTTTGTTTTTATTTCGAGAACTGACTTGAGCGTCGGGGGTCTACCGCCGAAGACATTCCCGGAGTGTTTGCAGTTTCGCGAAGGTCATTTAAAGGAAGAAAACCGGCTCGAGGTCATCCTGTTGTCGGTTCAAAGAAGAAATACTCGTCAAATTTGTGGGAACATTTTACCAGTTCTCTACCATCTTTTGAGGACCACAAGCAGAGAAAGATGATGGTTGAAGAAGGCTGAAGAAGAATCTCAACGACGTCATTGAGGAAGCATGGGTGACCAAATCACCTTTTAGGACAAGAGCGTCGTTCGCGTGGCCTATGTTCGACGCTTTGGTCACGCCTAAAACAATTTTAGTAAGATTGAACCACGTTTTAACGCCGGAAGCAGATTCGATGAACTTCGATGGGGAGAAGGGAAATGAGGTCCTCTTGTGTACCATAGAAAAGGGAGCTCCCTCAGAGCAGCAGGTGGCGGTGGTAACGAGTGGACAAGACTTGGAACCCGAAGGTGGGATGAGAACCACGAGGTCCCATGGTGATAGAAAGGATCAACATAAGGACGAGAATAGAAGATGGGCCTAAAATACCTGTAAAATTGAAACTAGGGCAAGTGGGAGATTGTTAAGAAAATGTCCAACGTTCTGATTTAATTGAGTATTTTTTTACTTGTAAAAATGATTTACTAAAAATTATATTATATAAAGCATTATTTTATCTTATGCTTTTGCATTTATTAATTACTTGCACATATGATAAAGTCTTTAAATCAATATTAACTAAGAAACATCGTTGCATATTTGGTGACAATCATAAAAAATGTCTAGAACGCAGCGATATTAAATAAGTTACAGTTGATGGGTGTTTCAAGACAAAACATAGAATAACCCGATAAAACTTGCGTCTATGATACATGCTCGCTACACGAGGACGTTGCATTCCATACACATTAGTGTGTGAACGTAGCGCACGCTTTTTGTGAAACAAATTCATTGAATATGACCCAATGATAATTCTAAGTTGGAAACGTTTAACTGCCAAATACAAAATTTCATGTTGCAAAATGGAAAAAAACAATGATGCATTATACAACATATTATTTTTTCTATAGTATTTTATGTAAGAATACACAAGTCCATTCAATAGTAAATTATATTTAATTAAAATATCAGTATCAAAGAAAGACTATCAATAGAATTGGACAATATGTCATTATTCTTATTTTTATTTGATGATATAACTTTAGAAAATGATTTCTGATGACCCAATGGATTTTTTATACTTTCCCTACTCAAAAGTAGGATAAAATGGAGATTAGACCGGAACTAATCCACCACTCGTAGAGGCTCAATACAATTTGAATAAAATAGTAGATAGATAAAATAAAATTTCAGTTTAATACATAAGTAGATGACCTTATGCACACAATCTGCCAAATCTTGTAAATTAATATATCAACCTCTAATAGCATTTTTCGTATAAGCTGTTTAAAACTCGAGCTATTCGTCCAATGGAGTTACTTCATTCTTTTGGAGATACAGCTTTTGTTGAAATTACGCAAAATCCAAAATCCATCAAACTTCAGCAAAGCCAACAGCAAAATGCTACACATACCAAGAGTACCTTACTATGTCTGGATAAATATCTTAAAATAAATAACAAAAACTGGTTCCTCTATAGTTAGAAGTTTGGCATGCTCTATCCCGCACTTCGTTTAAAGTCTGTGGTTAAAAGTACAGTAAATATAGTTTTTCTTTTTCCAGTAAATATAGCTTTCTCACATAGACCTGCTAAAAACAGGCAACTGCAAATATTTTAACAATTGTCTATGCACCACCGCCTTCTCTATTGATTGCTAAAGGTGTTTCACAACAACTGAATCAAGAGTCTCAAACGGGAAGCACTTGTGTTTTACAGGAGTGGTTACCTATATTCTGATTGCCAATTTTAGGCAAGATGAAGGAGCAACGAGATTGCCTGATAATGAGTCAGCTGAATTTGCCAATTTCCATTTTCTTTTTGATTGCTCTGTGGCCGTGATATATGAACGAGTCAATTATACCCGAAACAGTAAACACACCTGTGATTGGTTCACAAAATCTAGTTAAAGTTCTTTTATATGTTTAAGCCGAGTCTAGTTAAAGTTTATTCTTCTTTCAAATATGAGAAAGAGACCTCCAACAATGGCACAGACATTGGTCAGGAAATGCAAAAATGAGACGTGAGTCTCTGTAAAAGTCACCTGTAACCAGCAAATAGAAACATAAATATTCAAAAGTAGCATGTGATGTGTTCTGTAAATACTGCGGTAAAAGCAAGATAAATCACAATTTGTTCCTCTGCAGAATAATGTTGAAGTAATCTTCAATGAATCAAGTTAACTTTTCATGAACAAAAAATTCGACACGAGTACACAATCATACCAAAATTGAAAACCAGATTTCCCCCAGATGGTAGTGTAACAGATTTTATGAGCAATAATGACACATTTTTGGGAACATTAAGAAAGACCAATAAGAAGAAGAATCAAAAGGAATTGAGAAAACCAAAAGGGAGATCAAGATGAGAAGAGCATGTAATACAAATGAGTTAATCAAAGCCAAAGAAGAATGCACAATACAAACTTGATGACGGTGGTATTAGAAAGTTATTTTGATCATGCAGCATGGATACGCACCTTAATTGGCGAAAGCTCATAAAAGAAAAACACTCCAGGAAGAGCTTGCAGTTGACCTAATTCTGACCCTTTAACATGTTCAGTAACAGAGAACTGCAGGAAGACAAATTTTATGCATCTCAAGTATTATCCATGGAAAAGATTCCTATAAATCAAATTTAAAGGAACCAAATCACAATTTTACTTGATTGGATTGAATGGTATGCCCGTCGACATCTGTGAATACAGTTGGCACCACCTGCAACCCGGTAAGCACGATTATAAATGAGAAAATTTGATCAGTGTCATAAACCAAAATTTGCAAAACTGAACAGTTCAGAGAGAGAGAGAGAGAAAGAGAGAGAGAGAGAGAGAGAGAGAGAGAGAGAGAGAGAGAAATCTAAACCTTGAGGAAATACTGATACATTGCATTTGCTGTGTGTTGTGTCCATTGTGCACTGCAAAAAATAATAATAATAAATAAATAAATAAATAAAGAAGCTCCATTATGCATGTATGAATGTATACGTGATGAAAACATTAAAAGAACGATTTTAAAGAATATAAATTAAATTACAAAAGGAAATTTATATAATATGTACCCATCTAGAGGATTCACAACACCAGGAAAGTACTCTCCATATGTTAATCTGTTGATCTTGTGAGTCATCTGTTGCACAAATCCTACACATTTACTTCATAACCTTACAAAATTTACATTATTTAAGAAAGATGTATTTAAAAAAAAAAAGGAAAGAAACGGAAAGAAAGGAAGGCAATTGAAAAGTCCTGCTGGCACTAGAAAGTTTGTACACAAATACAGAATCTTACATTAAAACTATCTTTCTGAAAGGTGAGCAGATCGTGAACATGTACATTTGACTGCTGGAAACTTTTCCCAGGAGCAAAATGAAAATTACCAGCTACCTTATTTACATCCAAAAACCCATAAATGTTACATCCTTCACCATCCTCCTCTTTGAGTCTTTGAAGGAAACCTTCTCTTTTGCACTGATTAATTTGTAAAATAGGAAAACCATCCATGACAAAAATAAGCAATAAAATGTTGAAACTTAAGATAAAATAATAAGTTTATTTTTCACAATGTTAGCACTTATTAAGCAATGCAAAAGTGAACTCATGACAAGTTGGTCCACATTGTGCATGTCTGCTAAGACCCAAAGCATAAGCTGCACTGAACACTCTGCTGCCCATATTGTATGCTGATAGAGTGAAGGGCAATAATAACAATAGATAATGAAAGAACTACCCCGAAGGGTCCTCATGCAAGATAGCCTGCCACAAACTTCAATTTTCCAGAATAACTAATCTAACTCTTTGCCACCAATATATATACTAAACCCTAATACTTTAATAATCAAACCCTAAAGCCCATTTAAGAGCCTGCTAACTTAACTAATTATATTAACTAAATAATAAGGATAATTGGGGCTACGCCCTAGGGTCCAGTAGGAGCAGCCGCAGCCCGTTTCAGTCTTCTAGAATAAATTTTCAGAAATTGGTCTTTATCATATGCTATGATACAGGCTACTGCATACTCATACAATGAATGCATATAATTTTGCACTTCAAATTCAAGTTGACCCAAAACCATCTTTGATATGACTGTCAGCCGCTGCAGAAGATAAATGGAAGAGAATATAGACACAGACCTGGTCGATTAAATCTGGATTGGACAAGGCCCATCCTTTCTTTCTATATGCTTCACGAACGTCTTCACAATTGTTACAACAATCATCATCTGCCTGCAGAATACAAGCATTTGGTAAAATAACACACTAGAACATGAAAAACAATTAAGAATCCCGGAATTCATCATAACACAGTGAAAACAGAGAATAACATAAATTCAATGATCAATATATTGTTTAAATTTTACTTGTTTGCAGCCCATATTTTCCACTATCCCAGACCATCCAACAAAAGAGAACTACTAAAAACAAGACCAAAGTAAGCTTAGAAAAAAATGCTAAAGAGAAAAATACCACTTCTGCACCATAACAAGAGCCACAGTAGGTTTCATTGCTTTCCAGCCTCCCACCATGCCTCTGTAAAGGTCGCTCAATCTAATGCCACTCAAGTAAAATATAAAACAGCAAAGTGCATCAGTCAAGCACAATCCAATTTGCAACATTATTATACATTGGTCTCACTACTAATAAAATAAAGAAGCTTATCCACTAATTTAGCTATAAGTCTACAATACACATATGTTCATTGCTAGATATCACAAGCCAAATGCTCTGATGCTAAACATGAAGTTTGCATCAATATACTTAATAAACATAACTAAGAACTAACCTTGGGAGAGCCAATAGTATCTGCCCTTGTTTCGATTATATTACCATGAACATCGATCCTTTTCTTGATAATATCATGTCTCTGCAGAAGTAAACAAAAGCCAGTTAAAGGTAATAAAGGCAAAAGAATTACCAGGTTCCTGGAAAATTTTCACTCTTCGTATTTATTTCTTCCAGATCAAACATATTTTTCAGGTTAAGGTTACGTCCCAGGTTCTTATTTAGTGACTTTGAAGTAATATCAAGATGTGAATCCATTTTTGCTTGGTACTGAAAGTAAATGATGAAAGAACTGCTTAGTAATCTCAGTTATATTTGGATTGTATAAATATCTTTAAGTTGCATAGTTTTTGAGTGCATACAAGTGTATTATTACAATAAAACAAATTCCCATAAATGAAATGAAAATTTTTAATATTTCCCAGATTAGCATTACTTTCCAGGTCCTTGGCTAGGAACTTATAAGTAGTATTACAATGTTGATCCACAGTTGCTAGGTACTGAAAGAATACGATGAAAGACATTGCTGTGTTATCTCATTCATATTGGGATTGTAAACCTATGTTCAAGTAGTATATTTTTGAGTGCATGAAAGAGTGTTTTATTACAGCTAAAACAAATTCCCCCAAAATAAAACGAAAATTTACATAGATATATAATTGTGAGATAATTTCTGTCTAAAAGGCTTACAACATCCAGATGTTGCTCTCCACTAATATCAATGGCATCAATGCTGACTATAGAGCATGGAAGTGCTGGAAAAGTCACATCAAACTGCAATTTCAGAGGCAATAAAGAAACTTGGTAAATTGATTTTCTAGTTAACATTGTGACATTATTTCATTAATTCTCAGGTCGATCAAGCAGCTTGTTGAAATATTGGCTGTCCAACTTAAAATTATTAGCTATGTAATTCATGTGGCAAATGTACTCTGTTCTTAAGGCAAGGTTCTAATAGATACCAAGAAACCAAGATGGGCTAGCTGATATAGACACACTGAATTGAGGAGAAATATTACCTACTTTGTTTGTTTGTTTGTTCACAGGGATTGACAGCCACACACATTCTTGTTGATATACTAAGAAACACATTAAAGTAGAAAGATAAATCCTATATTAAAGTTTAAAGTGGTATCAAGTAGCCGAGACAAAGTTATAAAGCTTCGTAAATGGAAACCAATGATTTTAGGGTGTTGGATATCCCACTGTTAATCAAGATAGAAATGAGTAACGGAAATGAAATTATATGTCTACACACATACGCTAAGATAGAAAAGTAGAAGAAAAAATGACCGATGCATAGAGAGGATATTGAGGACAATAAGAAGATAAAAACACTGAGTAAAAAATTCTGCAACACTAAATACTGTGTCTTGGCAGGGCCACATAATAACACGCAAGAATGAGACAGTTAATTTACATTAATACGAAGCCTTTCTCCTCTTGATGTATCCACCACTAACTTTGTCTCGGTTACAGCATAAAGGTACAATCCTGCAAATGGAACACAAACAATCCAATAGGAATACAATCCTTGTTAAGACAAATAAATATATTCAACATGAACAATATGGCTTTTATCGCTAGTCACAAAATTCCAAATGCATGACATACTATCCATGAAGAAATCTAAACCATTCAAAAAGGACATGGTCTATTTTTCCCACAACAGTTGACACGAATTTTGTTCAGACATGGTCAGTAATGATAAATCTTAAAATCTGCAAGGCGCAGATCCTAAATAAAACCTCTGTTTGGGTGCAATCTAAAACATGCTAGTGACATCCCAAATCCATTCAAGAAGAACAGAGGGACACAATGTTCATTTCTAGATTCTGAACCTCTGCTCATGTACCGACTCCAATTGATTCATTTCCCCATATATCAGGGACATAGTAATACAACAGTCTGAATCCAAACTATATAAACACAAAAAAGTTCTGCATTATATTGCAGGTTGCAGAGAAACTATATCATATATGCAAGTAAAAGAATACATCAACTGGTGTTTGTATTAAACCGAACCAAATCTCAAACATCGTCCAGGAAACTACATAATTCCTGAAATTCAGTCCAAGATTAGCCAATTGAAGAGGTTGTGCTAAATAGCATGCTCATGATGACCGCATAGAACATTATAATCATTACTTTCTCATTATTTTTTACATGATCGAATAGGCATCTCATATCACACCAACTACCAACCCCTAGAGCAATTTTGGCCGCAACAGAAAGAAGTAATACGCCTCACCAGCCAAAATGAATTTTATAAATGCATGTGATTGAAATGTTTTATCAAGGAACGCGCCCACGAGTTCCTGTTGTGAGAATACTATGCAAGATGTTAACAATTAGTAAAAACACCCATCACATGTCGAACAAAATAAAATATGACGACAGCATTACAATAGCAAAAAGTCGGTCCTTCCATTTTCACATTGTATGAAAAACTAGAAAACCAATTTAATTTCCAAAGTGAAAAATCCTTTCCCATAAGAATATCCACTAAACTCACCTTCCCTATCTTGGAATTACACAAACCCTAAACATAACCCAATTAGCATGCTTATGATTGGCTTTCTCCATAGCACAAACATGTGAAAAACCTATACCAACTTCTACCCAAATCCAAAACTCAACATACGACCACTCATAGGGAAAAGCAGAAACAATTCAATACTTTCCAGAACGAGTTANNAAAGCACTCCATCGAATATATCATTGTCACCGACCCATGATTTAACTCATCAAATAAAGTTTCAAACGGATCTTGTGGCCAAACTGTAAACGTGCATACGTTTAAATACGTACGAAGCTAGAAAATAAAAAAAAAAATTATAAAGGTTAGATAGAAACGATACGAACTTAGCTCAGAAACGAACAGCAGGAGCATGATGATGGAGGAAGCCAGGGTTATGACGCCACCGGAAAGAGTTCGGCTGTAAAAATCCTCATTGATCTTCGGGTACGCGTCCAGGCTCCGTAATTTCGCAAGTATACTCTCCATCATCTCCAAAAGAAAAAGAACACCAGGAAAAAAACACGGAAAATTGTATGAAATTGTGAATTGGAAGAAACTTGATGCAATATTTCTACCACTTTATGTTATGAAATTATTAGATATGGGATTTGGGGAAGAGTAGAGTCGCCGACGAAGAGCGTCAGCCGTGAATGATGCTATTGAGAAAATTTCACTGTAAATAACGCCTGAATTTTCAACTTTTTCGTTTAGGGATTTCAATTTTAAATTATTGTTAATATAAGACATACTTTTACATTCTACTTTTTAATTCAAGACTCTAAATCACTTTCTATTTTGATATAATTATATAAATCACAATACTTTTTTTTTTCAAAAAAAGAAATATGATTTAAGAACTTATAATAAAAAAATATTAGATATCTATAGTAATTTTTTTTCTTTTTTTCTTTCATATCTTTAGCAAAATTACCTAATAAAATATGTATTTCATAATTTACATCTATGCAAAAGCTTAATGAAATTTATTTTAAAAGTTAAAAAATAATTTTTAACTTAACTTTAAACAAAATATGTGATAACATTAAAATATAAGCTATTTAAAAAAATAAATTTTTTATTTTTTAAATAAACTTATAGATATTATTTATGAATAAAATTCATATTTTTTAAAGAGTTAAGAACATATAAAATTAATGCCTATAATAAAATTATTAAATATATTTTTAAAACGAGATTAGTAAGAAAATTAATACAAATTAGTTACATTTATGCGAAATAAATTTAGCTTGAATTAATTTTCTTATTAAATTATTTTACTAAAAATATTTCTTATTTGAATTAATTTTCTTATTAATTTAATTTTTAAAAATATTTCTAATTATTTAAAAAATATTTTTTTTATAAAAAAAAAAGAGTATTGTGGTCTACATAATTATATCAAAATACAAAATGATTTGGAGTCTTAAATTGAAAAGTAGAATGTAAAAGTAGACCTTTATATTGACAATAACTTAAAATTGAAACCCTCAAATGAAAAAGTTGAAAATTCAGGGCCTTACTGTAACCAATAGCAAAAAGTCAAGCCCTATAATAGAATTTCTCCTATCTTACGATTTGTAGACCGTATTTGTTAATTTGCTGGTATTTCCTTTTCTTTTTCTCTTTTTTTTTTGTTTTGTTTTTAAAATGATATTTCATCAAATATAACTGGGTATATTCATTTGAGGTTTCTAAAGACTTTTTAATACTTTAGAAATCTTACTGTATTTAAGTTTGACTTTTAAGATTTTTAAAAATTTTAGAGTATTCATTTAGGATTTTAAAAATTTACAAAATCATGAGGCATTTAAATCCCTCTCAAAATCTCACACTCAGACTTAAGATTTCACATGATTCTCCACAATCTGGAAATCTTAAAAAGTTTAAAAAATTTCGAAAAGTCTAAAAATGTCACTCAAAATCGCAAACGAATACTCCACCTAAATTTCCAATTCCTATTCATTTTTCTTGCTAGTTCCTATATACTCTTTTTTCTGTACATTTCCCACTCACACAAATTCATTCTAATTAAGTAATTAACTCTGCAATTATTCAAAAAAATAAAAATAAAAATAAAAATCATCCTTTCAATATTACATCACAATATTT